AGGTTACTGCAGCAGCAACCTTAACCGGCTGACGACAACAGTTGACATGACAGGAGTGGCTCCAGGCAATGAGCTCGTTCTTGTCCCAGGAGATGTGGGGATCGTGCTTCTTGAGCCAGGGAAGACCCAGGATTACCGGGTAGGCAAGCGAGTCCAGGAGAAGGAGTGGAATTTCCTCAACATGAGTGGCACCAACTGTTAGAGAGAGAGGAATGGTCTGCTAGGTAATCCGTCCAGGAGTGATCGGTGATCCATCCAGAGCTTGAATACAGTTCGGGGGTGAGACCGGAGCCAGGGGAATATCCCACTTCTTAGCAAAAGTGGCATCTATAAAGTTCCCTGCTGCCCCGGAGTCAACAAAAACCAAAAGGGGAAGTTGTGCGTCAGTCCAAGAAATTTAATAATAATAAAGGCCCAGCCGAGGTTTGAGAAAAAACAGCACTACTGACTCTAACAGTAGGCTGCGGAAGGGTTCGAGAGGGAAACGGGGGTCTCAAGGGACAAGCAGAGATGTGGTGATCAGGTGCAGCGCAATACAGACACAGTCCCTCCCGACGGGGCCTATTCTTTTCCTCCAAGGAAAGGGTTGCATGATGCAGAGTGGGCACCGTGGGGGTAGTACCTTCAGGACAGCCAGGACTGCTTCCATCATGACTCTCTGCTCTCCGCAGCCGAATGCGGGTGTCCAGTTCAACCACCTGAGCGATCGCCGCCTCGAGAGAGCGGGTGTGAAGAGGCGTGAGCACCAGGTGGTCCTTTAGTTCTTGTGAGAGACCCTTAGAGAAAAGGCAAATCAGGGCTTCAGGGTTCCAGTCATACTCCGTGGTGAGGGCTTGGAATTCAGCCACATAATCTTGCAGTGACCTGTCACCCTGATGAAGCGAGGAGCCGGTCAGCAAAAAGCCGGAAATCAACAAACTGAAAATCTCCCCTAGCAAGCAACACAGCTGCCCAGTCCAGAGCCTTGCCTGTGAGCAAGGAAAGGGCAAGACCGATCTGCTCCCGGGGAGAAAAAAAATGCTCGGGATGCAGCTGGAAAGCCAAGGAGCATTGAGCAATAAAACCCCTGCAGCCCGCAGGGTCAAAAGGTCAAAAGTCGAAAAGGCAGAAGGGGAGTCCAATAACCAGAATAAACGGTCTTCTCCCAGCGCCACGGGGAAAAATGCCAGGTAGAGCTCTCAAGGAGTAGACTCAATATAGACATGGACAGGGCATATGTAGTGTGAGTCTGCAGAGATTTTTTTTTTGATAGACAGTGTTTTTCAAAGAGAAATATCCTATATGTATTTAGACAGGAAACTTTAAGTCAGTCAGGAGCTCAAACTACCATTCAGGCTTTCTTGAAGATTAATTTATTTTTCTCCAAATATTTGGGTATTACAATAAACACTGTTAAACTGTCAGACTGACTGTGGGCCAGGCCACAACTACTGTATATAGGTGCCCACCTGATGTCTGTGCCCCCTGTGGCATCACAGCACGTACAGATGAAAGCAGGAAGCCGGGTTTTTCAATGGTCTGTTCTCTTCTCTCTTCAGGCTTTTCATCAATACATGTGGGTGCACTGGTCTTGGCCTTTTCTGCACCAGTATTTTGGATTCTAATGTGGACTGTCTTCTTTTTTCGTAAGCACATTTTTTATTTTAAATTATCTTATTAGTTAGATTTACGTTGTCTGTCCATTTAATAACTAAGAACAAAGTGGTTTAAGATCTTTTATTTTCACCTGTGTAGAGAGCCAAATCGGGCTTATGTTGGCTTATGTTGGTCCACAGTCAAGTTTAGATGCACGAGATCTCAGCTTAGCCGTCCAGTACTCTCCAGTGTTGACCCCTTTGTCAGTCCTGTAGACACAATAATGTGGAGCAGTTCTTTGGAGACCACAGTGACATGACCCAGTAGCCCTGTGGAGACCACAGTGACATGACCCAGTAGCTCTGTGGAGACCACAGTGACATGACCCAGTAGCTCTGTGGAGACCACAGTGACATCACCCTGTAGCTCTGTGGAGACCACAGTGACATCACCCTGTAGCTCTGTGGAGACCACAGTGACATCACCCAGTAGCTCTGTGGAGACCACAGTGACATCACCCAGTAGCTCTGTGGAGACCACAGTGACATCACCAGTAGCTCTGTGGAGACCACAGTGACATCACCCAGTAGCTCTGTGGAGACCGCAGTGACATCACCAATAGCTCTGTGGAGACCACAGTGACATCACCAATAGCTCTGTGGAGACCGCAGTGACATCACCAGTAGCTCTGTGGAGACCACAGTGACATCACCCAGTAGCTCTGTGGAGACCACAGTGACATCACCCAGTAGCTCTGTGGAGACCACAGTGACATGACCCAGTAGCTCTGTGGAGACCACAGTGACATCACCCAGTAGCTCTGTGGAGACCACAGTGACATCACCCAGTAGCTCTGTGGAGACCACAGTGACATCACCAGTACCTGTGTGGAAGATTTTCAGAACTTCTCTGTAGTAGAATTCTCAGTTTTATGAAGTTCTTAAAGAACAGAAGAAACAGAGGTCTAGTTATCTGTTTGTCACTGGAGGCAGTTTAGGTGTGTAAAGTCTAGAATTAGTACTCCTGCAGTTTGACTGTTCTGTAGACAGTATATTGTTTACTGTTTAAAGGCATGTGTGTGTTCAAGTCAACACTGAATCTCTTGGAGCAGAGAGGAGTGCAGGGTAAGAGTGGAGCTATGGAACTGAAGCAGTAATGGAGACTACTGAATTTCCTGCTAAATGATAAATACATGAAACTTGACATCTGACATCATCTTAACTAAATATTTTTTTCTTTTTTCTCATATTTTATCTTTTATCTTTCTGCAGATAAAGGTGTGCTTACTTGGACATTCCTCTTTGCTCCTAGTGTCGTATTGTCTATTTCATTTGTCCTCTGGGGTGTAATTGAAGGTAAGTTTGTTCATTTAATCTCAGAGCACATTCTGCTCTTCTGACTGTAATTATCTGGATGTTGTGGGTTGCAGGAATAAGAATAAACTTTATTTTATATATTCCCTCTAATGGTATATTCCCAAAGTGCAATACACTGAAAGTAAAAGATTCAGTTGAAACATAAGAACATGATCTGCAAACTCTTAAAGAAGTTTAAAAGAGAATATCCAGGCAGATAAAAACTGCAGTCAAGGCCACAGAGGGAAAACCTGCTTCTCTCAAGCTGGAGAAAGTGCATCACACCCCCTCCCTGGTGAGTGAAGGTGGGGAACAGGTTGTTCCTGATGGAGCAAAGTCAGACGTCTCGCTAGTGAAGTGGAGAAGTTTGACGCAGACAGTTGACAGACTTTGAAGACTGTGACTCCCCCCTTCTCTCCTTTCTCTGCTTTATCTCCTCTTTTCCTTCTGACTTTCACATGTCTGGTTTCCTTTTTTCTTCTCCTCTCTTCCTCTTTTATACGAATGCTGGATTTATTCAGTTTGTTTAGGTACCAAGTCTGCCATACCGTGACGATTGGTCACAGTTCATTATTACTGTACTGCATGTGGGACCATGCTTGTTTGTCATCTCTGAAAATCCAGTGCACAGATTGAACACAAAACAAAACAAAACAGTTCATAAAGATGGGTGATAACACATTTAAGACAGAAAGGGATTAGAAATTCTCCAGGAGTAATGTGATCACTTGCACTAGACCTGGTCAGGATTCTGGCTGTCGAATTTTGGACAGACTGGAGTTTGTTCAAAGTAGATTTAGATACCCCAGTGAGCATTTCAGTAGTCAATTCAGGAGAAGCCAAAGGTGGTGATCAGCTTTTCAGCCACAGTTAGTGATAACAGGGTACAGTCTAGCGATATTTCTGAGATGAAAGAAAGATGTTGCACATGTGGTTTGAATGTCAAGTCTGAATCAAATATCACCCCCGAGTGTTTCAGTTTAGTCTGAAGCTCAAGTACAGTACCGTCCACAGGGTTACAGAACCGGCTTTACAAAGCTGATGGGGGCCAATACACATGACTTCAGTCTTGTCACAATTTAGATGAAGGAAATCTTGAGTCATCCAAGTTTTTATGTCAGAGATACAGTAAGAGAGAATAGAGACAGCCCCATCAGTGTCAGGTATATATATATAGATTTGAGTATTGTAGAAGATGTAGAAGATTAATGAGCAGTAGAAGATGCAGTGTGCAGTCACAGACACAAATTAATAAGAGCCTTTCTGAAGAGAAAGCTCTTGAGTCTGGATTTGAATGTGCTCAGGGTGGGTGACTCTCTGATATCCGTGGGGAGAGAGTTGCAGAGCTCTGGGGCGCAGCAGGAGAAGACCCTGTCACCCACAGAGTGTGGACAAGCTCGGGGGACAGACAGGAGACCAGAGTCAGTTGAGCGAAGGCTGTGAGGTGGGGAGAAGGACGGTAGTAACTCAGACAGGTACTGAGGTGTCATGTACAACCCTATAGGTGAGTATCCACATGAAACCTGATAGGAAGCCAGTGCAAGGACTCCAGGATAGGAGTGATGTGATCACTTGCACTACACCTGGTCAGGATTCTGGCTGCCAAATTTTGGACATACTGGAGTTTGTTTGTTGGTTACTGTACGGATTGCTGGTATCTCCAGACAGATTCAAGGTTGTTAGAAATATCATTAGTGCTGTTTAACATCTTTTAGAAATGTGTTTTAGATATTAATAAAACAGGATGTCTCACGAAACAGACATCAACCTCCCATTCAGCATCTAAAGGTCTGTTTGTGAGCTGCTCTGATGTCAGGGGCTGCAGAGATCTGAGAATCTGTTGCTCTGTGCAGGCAGTGATTATTTATACCCTGTACTGTGTTCACGTTTACTGTCACAGGCACACAATTAAAGTACATCGAGCAGGATTGCTAGGTTAACTTGATTAACTTTTCTAATTTCTCTGGCACAGAATATTATGAGCTACTTGTGTGCAATCACTACTGCTTTGCTTTTGGCTCCTGATGTGACTTGTTTTGCAGGGTCTTTGGAAGAAGTGATCATGTGTGTGACTGTTAATCTTCTGAGGATTGTACTAGTTCCGACTTTCTTCAATGGTAAGTTCTGAAGAGAACTGTTTTTTTTTAGGTGCATCTTGAAAATCTACACATTTGGTACAATTATAGGTAATAATAATAATTAATTGCTTAAACTTATATAGCGCTATGTACTATGTACGTACTCTATAAAATCAATCATTTTATAGTTATTTGATTTTTATTTGTTTATTTGTTAACTTAATATTTTCTAATTATTTTAAGACTCTTAAATATAAATACAGTACAAAGTATATTTTCCTAAAAAGATCATATTTGTGACCAGAATAAGGAAGGCACAGTAAGCTGTCCCACTCTGAATGTCAGTGAGAGCCAGTACAGTTCACAAAACTGAGTCTTTTGTGTACACGAGAGGCATAATAAAGACATGTAGTTCAGGTGGGGAGCTTTGTCAGCATGCGTAGGCTGTAAAGGAACAAGTAATAGGTTTATTCCATGCTGAAAAGAGAAGAGAGAAAACGTTTCAGCTGATGAGTCTTCTTCAGGTGTGGAGCTTCTTCACCTGAAGAAAGCTCCATGGCCGAAACGTTGTTTTCTTTTTTTCTCTTTTCAGCATGGAATAAACCTTTACTTGTTCCTTTGCATAATAAAGACTTGTTTCCAGTCTTTATTAATATTTCAGTGTCAGACAGGCCTATTTCTCTCAGTAGGGTCTTAGCTGAGCAGTGTTACTCATCTGCAATAGTTATGTCGCTGTGACATTACTAACCTGAATGTCAAATGACAACACAGGATCAGAGGTACACTAACATGAGGGATTCTAACTGTGATCAGGGGTTTGATTTCAGCACCATCAATACTAAAGTCACCAGCTTTGTGAGCTCAACCTCAGTCTGCTCACAGTTCAGTTGGAGAGTTTTTTGCTCCCATTAAAATCAGACATAGAAAGATAACCAGAGAACCTGAGGACTTGCCTGCCCTGAGTTAGACCTGTAACTGTTGCTCTTCTGTGATTTACCAGTTAATGGCTCCTGTCCTGTTCTTGTCCTGAGATTGTTCTGTACCAGTATCTACCTGCAGGGGGAGCTCATACTCAAAGATCAGATCCTTAAAGGAGCTCCGTTTTTAGATCATAAACCTAAGTCCACCTGGGTAGTTCTGGTTAAAAAAAAGTGTTTGAGTTTTTTAAACTCACTGTAGAGCTGTAGACACAATGCAGAAGAATATTTATAGGTTTTTATTCATCTCCTTGTCCCTGTAGCTGGATCTCCAGAAATACACAGTGCAGTTTATCCTTTCAGCTTCACTCAGATCCTGAATCATGATCTTTCCTACAGACTGACTAAGTACTGGTCATGATAGTGTATCTGTGAATGATACTGACAGTATCTGTTGTGCTGCTGTGATCTCTGGAGGACCTCAGGGTGGGGAATCTGTCTGCTTTTCCCTCTCTGAGCCCTGCTGCTGTCTTGACATGACTGAACTGAACCAAGCGCCTCAGCAGTAGAACTAGACCCCAGAATCAGTGAGTCTGGTGACTCCTGGCCATCAGCTCAGCTGCAGTCTGAGTGTGTTCGATCACACCATGAGGGTCTGGACTGAGGTGAAGTTCCTCTCCTTCAGCATGGAGAGTCAGAGTTCACAGGGTGATGAAAGCAGTGAGTGAAATGTAGTGGTTAAAATTAAACGTCAGTGACGGTGTTGAGGAGTGGTGTCCAATTCACATGTTTGTGTCTGTTTTTTCCAGTGAAGAACTCAGTTTTCATCGGTTTCTCAATAATTCATTTTGTTGTGTTAACTGAGATGTGGTCTGGTAAGTAAATTTAAAACTGATTGTTTTATTTCCAATTTCAGAGACGTATTAGCTGTTAACTCTTGTATTTACATTAATTAACACACACATGTTTGAGGTCCTGTATAGTGGCATCTGAACATCAGTGCTAAGCGAGAGGCAGAGGAGATACAGGAAGTAAAGAGGCTACACAACAAGACACACCAGAAAGACATAGATAGGATGTTATAGTGTTGGCACTGGAAAGATAGAGAGAAAACCGAAGAGAACAGGGGACAGTGGGAGAGAGCTAGCTTGGGAGAAAGGTGTCCGATCAGCTAGCGTGTACTGTAATAGACTAACTTTTCATTAATACATAGTCCATTGTTCCACACCTGCCTGCTTGCCATTCTTTGCTACAACTCTGCTGTAATAATGGAGCGATGTCTTCACAGTGACACTAACAGGTCATAGAAACCTCAGAGACAGGAGCTGAGTCGCTAATTTACTAAATGAAGTAAATGAGTTAGAGGAAAATAAGGGGAAGATGGTTTTGTTTCTGTTCTGGTTTCCCTGTGTTCCCAGTTCCTCTGTGGGAGTATTTCAAGAGCCACACACCAGACACAGCTGTTACAGCAGGTATTGGACTGGCCTGTGCCTCATCACTGCTCTCCTATCTCTGTGGGGTTTTTATTCAAGGTAAGAACACCTGCTTTCTCAGATCCAGGAGAGAGAGATTCGGTGTGAAGAGCTCAGATCTAGCCTCTCTCCTTGCTAGGTTTCAGTTCCAGAACACATGGAGCGATGTGATGGAGATACAGTAGAGAAAGAATCCCAGACTGCACTGGGAGGGATGAGAACAGACTCTCACAATCTCTCTCCGACAGACACTCGATAAGAACAAGGAGTTTTCTAGAGAATCACAGGAAGCAGCTGGATCTCTTACTGATACAGTCCTGCTTTAATTCAACATAAAATTAAGCTCAGGAATATATTTATGTGCTTTGTATAAATACTGATTCACAATTTAAGAGTATTTATTTATTGAGGGGTTAGACCTAAGATATTTTAACCCTCTTGGCTGAAGATCCCCTGCCTACTAGCAGCACAAACAATGACTCTCACCAGATTTATTTCAGATACATTTGTGCCAGTTTGTACCACTAAAAGTGTTTGTGCTGCTTTCCTTCCTGGGAAATAGCACCCTGCTATCTCCAGGCTAGTGGAATATACAGTATGTCTGTCCTGGTGCCCTGCTGTGTCAGCAGTATTTTAAAATAAGTCATCAAAGCAACATTGTAAATTGTCATTTACATTGTAAATGTAATAAAAGGTCTGCCACCTCACAAATGTAAACAGTAACATCTCAACAGTTCTGAAAGAAAACAGTCTTTCATGAGCCAAAATGTAGACTAAACCAATGTTTTACTTTTGTTTGAACCACCTGTTTATGGGAATATATGTACAGTATGTGCCCAAAATCTATATTAGCATCGGGACCACATCTCACAATCGTCAGTTCTGTTCAATTCCTCATCTCTTAAGGCTTCTAGGTCACTGAGTCCTGAAATGAGGTAAAATCATGGTCAATGAAGAGGTGGTACCTATCACAGCTACATTTCTATACCAGTCGTATAGTCTGGACAAACACCAGAGAGCACTGACCAGTCAGGAAATTCAGACACTATATACTGCATTCCTAAAACCTCTCTATCACAGCCATGCGTTTGGCTATACAATATTTAAATCTAAATCACATATTTGGGAAATTGTTTTTGCTGTTTGTGGGGCTCAGTGA